AGAATTTTTTCATTTTTAATTTTTTTGGATGGCTTTATTATCATTAGATGAGCAATGTTAAAAACATAAAAAAATGATTTTTAGTTTATAAAGGCTAAGATCTTGAAATTCACAAAATGAATGGTCTAGATTCATTTTTGGAGAGGACTCATTTTGATCATATCTAGGGTTCAAAGATAACTTTTTTTCTTGGGGGAGGATTGATTATTGAGATGAAGAGTGTATGTACAAAATTTAGGGTCATACAAATTCCACAAACATAGTTTTCTGTAAGTGTCGTTGCATTATATTATGATACAATAATTGCATTAGATCAATTGATCAACATTAAATGATTACAAATTACCTAAGATACATCCATTATGTAATAAGCCAACAATAGAAATTGTCATTAGCTAACACGTGTTAATTTTCCATTACAAAACACAACTCGTAAGAAGTAGATAAGAAATGTGATGAACTTAAATATGAAGTAGACTTTCACTAACAACATGTCCATGTTTACGACTAGTATCGAGTTGTACCTGAATCTCATCGTTATCAAAGTCATCATCTTCCTCATCGTATTTATCATCTTTTCCTAGACTCCTCTGAGTTTGTCTCCTCCGCCTTCCTTTCTCTTACTCACATTGGCCACTTCACCTTCGCCTTTTCTTTCCCCTTCCCCTTCCCCTTTGAGTTTGAGACCTAGTGGCTTGCATAGGGGCTCAATGCCATACAAAACCGCCTCGTGAATGTTCCATATCAAGCTCTCTCCTATGAATACCAGTTTTTTCAAAGCATATTTTCTCCCACCAACCACTAGCTCAATTCATCCATATCTTTCACAAGGATGGGTCTATTCCATTCCGCTCTAAATAATGCTCCTTCACTTTCTGATTAATGACGTTTAGTCCGTCGTGCTCCAGCTTATTTATCTACTCATTAACTTATATATATATAGGTTTATATAAGGTTGCAACCTTATAATATAGAGTTATGGATGCATCCGTATGCCAACTATACCCATACATCATAATGCATGACTACAATATTAGATGATTCTTATTACTTTAGTAAGTACAATATTAATTAGGCTTGTAAGAGATGATGACAACAGGTAAATTTACTAATCTCAAATGTGTTGAAGTTGCGTTAACATCCATGCCATGTACAAGTCAAATTCAAAATCCGTTGATCATCATTTGTTAGTGATTGATGCTTTATGGTTAACCATCCATAAAACTACAATACATTGAAAATAAAAAGGATATATATATATATATATATTCATGCAACGGTTGTATAACAATTTTTGAAAACCATGTTAGGGGTATTTGTTTGATCCAAAATTTAAAATATACACTCTTTTCATTCTAATGAACAATAACAAAAATGAAAATTTTGAAAACACAACATAGGAAGTATTGTTTTAGCCCAATTAACACAATTCGTCTATTTTGATAAGATGTTTAGATCTAGGACTTAGAAATATTGTTAATTTTCCAATTTTTTTATATGACTTTATTATCATTAGATGGACAATGTTAAAAAATAAAAAAATGATTTTGAGTTTGTAAAGGCTAAGATCTTAAAATTCACCAAATGAATGATCTAGATACGTTGTTGGTGGGGATACATTTTGACCATATCTATGATTCAAATTATTATTTTTTTATTGAATATTGATTATTGACATGAAAATAATGTGTGTGCAAAATTTTGGGTCTTATAAATATCACAAACATGGTTTTCTAGAAGTGTGGTTGCATTATACTATGATGCAATCGTTACATTAGATCACTATTCTATATATATAGGTGAAATGAACAATGATTTCGCATGTGCTCATCACCGTCCAAAGTTCATCGCACGGTCACAATTGTCTGGTAGTATTTCAATTTTTATTTTTATTTTTACAAATCATAATGATTTAAAATTTGGAGGGTATGTTCATCAAAAATAGAAAAATCTAATAAAAATATAAAAATAATAATGTGTAAAATATAAATTGACCAAAATACCTTTAAAATCCTTTTGGATGTATTTTAGTCAATTTATGTTTTACAAAATATTTTTTTCATATTTTTATTAGGTGTGCCTCATTAAGATGTACATACGCTCCAAATTTCAAATCATTTTCGATTTATAGAAAACCAATGAAAATTGAAATACTACCATCAATCGTGACCGTACGATAAACTTTTGACGGTGATGAGCATAGGCAAAAATCACTATTCATTTTCGCATATAGGCATTGAGAAGATTTTTTCATATATATATATATATATATATATATATATATATACGTAGAGAGAGAGAGAGAGAGAGTGTGTGTGTGTGT